GGCTCCCGCCGCACTGGCACAGCTCATAAGGTACAGCAAGCTTTGGGATGGTTACCAACTCGCCGCCGGTGCCTCAGTAGGTGGGAGGAGTGGTGGGCAACTCACAAGCCCAGGCGGTGCAGTGCATCACTTGGAAGAGAACTGGGCTGCTGCAGTCTCGTTGTTACAGCACGTGCTTTTAAACAGCCGGGTACGTATCCCAAGCTGCCTGCAATGCCTGCCTTGTAAGAAAGGGCTCTTCTGTGAAGAGTAGCCCTTTCTGTAAAGGGTATGGTTTTGTTACCTGAAGTTGCCCTACGCTGCTTTCCAGGGCATACGTGTCGCTCATAAAAGCGGTTCCAGGCCTGGATTAAAACATCGTTTCACTTTGCATCTGCTTGCAGGTAGTACCAATCATCAGAAGTGTGGCTGAAGGGTGAATGAGTTGGTATGCACCTGCAGCATGCATACAGCCAAGCAAATGGAGAGATGCAGCTCCTCTGGCCCAGCATGCTGGACAAAGCAAGCTTCTGCCAGTATGCCGTACATCCTCCTTTCACAGAACAGCCAAGTTCAGGGAGTGAGACTTTCCAAGGGAAAGGAGGATGAATGTTTTGGTGCACCAGGAACCATTTGTGCACTAAACCAGAAAACTGGAGCTTGGGTGATAAATGTGCCCTGTGGTTTGTGGGCAGGAGAGTGGTTGTGGTACAAGAACAGGCTGGGCTTTATGCTGAAAGGTGCGGGACTCTCTAAAATCATAACTGCCTTGGTCACGTTTTCACTTCTGCATTCTGCCTGGCTCTCTTAATGGAGGTGGAAAGGTGTCTCCCAGTCAGCCTGAGCCCTGACAACACTAGTCAAGGCCCAAGAGACTATCCAAGCTCAAAGGGAGTGGTATGCCCTATAGCCAAAATGTTGCCCTTGGCAAAATCGTGAACTAAAATATCATGTGTCCTTACAACATAATCTCAGATCCCTTGCTTGTGGTCCCCATAAGTACCTACCAGCATATTCAGGAAGCCAGCCTGCTTGATGCATTCTGTCCAAAAATCTCTTTTTATGTTCTGCCAGAGGATATAAAAATGTGTCTGGCACAATGTATATGAAGTGGCCTAAAGTGGAGAGATTACATAAGCTTTTGTGCACAGATCTAGTACAGAGATGGATGAACTGTGCTGTTCAGGGAAACATATTCAGACCAGTTTATGATCTTTCAAGGAACATAAACATATGTGGCCCAGCCTAGGCATGGATCAGACTTGATATATCAGTTTTACCATGGAGCACACAGAACTGATTGTTGAGCAGCTCTGCAGAACCCACCTTGCATCTGGTGAGACCAGCAGCAAGCTACAGGAATTAATTCCCAGCTGGTGTCAAGCTAGGTCTGATGGAGACATTAAATTGATTCCTAGATCACACTCCCTTCTCTTACAAATAGCTAGTATTACTGAGTCACAGAGAATAGGGTGCATGCTTTCAAAGAATCAACACATGCATAAAACAATGTAATTACATTCTGATCTATCCCTGCTGTATGAAATAAGAGGGTTTCAAACTGTAGTCATGGACTGATAAGGGATCATGTTTTACACAAATATCAAATTAGGAGCATTGATTGTCCAAGGGTCTCTTTTCCATGGGTGAGTTTTACAAGTTATCCTCCACTATTCGTCTTCCCAGTGCTTAAAAACTACCTTGAAAGTGTAGTTTTCTGCTGTAATAGCAGTAGAAATTGTTAAACGGTAACTATGTTTCTCCTGAAGCGTAGTTTACATTTTTGGAATGAGTTGAATCTAGCTATGCCCAAACATTAGTGGAACCATCTTCAGAGTAAAAATATCTGACTAAAGTTATTTAATCTGTTCTTTGCTTAGCTTATTCTTTTTATACGTAATTGTTGGGGTTTAGGCAGCAAAAATTACTACATACATGTTAAGACAACATGTTTATATTTAGAAAAAAAAATATTTAATTTTCTTTGAAAATACTTGCTAGACCAGAAAAATTCAGGGCATAAGCTGTTCACTGATTACCAAGGCTTAAGAAGAAAGAAGCAGCTTCTTGTCCAGGCAAGTTTTACTCACAGTGGAATTTTTTACAGCTGCCCCATAGGACCTGATGATATCCAGTGCTAGAATGCTGGATGGACAGGGAATATCCACCGTCCTTTTTCATTATATGTGAGGAAGACATGTTGCATAAACAAAAGCAGAAGAAAGTAACAGGCCACAATGACTGTTCAATGCATGGAGGCAGGACATTAATTTCTTGAGTAGAGCACCCGGAGAAGAATTTTGTTCAGCCGTGGATTGTCAGTTAAGACTGAACAGGAAAACCAAGAAAATGTTCAATGCCATGATTATCAAACTCCAAATGCAGTAACTTTAACGTGTTAGAAAGGTTCCCTTCATAATAAAATATGACTTTTTCCTTCTTTTTTATTCCAATATTTTCCGGTTCTACACCTTTATTATTTTAAAAGTCAAAAAAAAAAAATAAAAATAGGAAAAAGTAAGTCTTAGGTTCTTTTTATTTTCAACCGTGTATGTCAGAGATAGCTTTAGAACAAGCTAACATTACTGTGGTTCAGGTGTATGCAACTGGTACAGTTCAGTAGTACATAAACAGCTCTAAAACAAATGCACCATAGAACTTAAATTACCAAAAATAAACAATATTAAACTATGTAGGGCAGTAGGCAAAACAATTACCTTTAGGTCTTGCACGCTAAAAGAAAAATTTCTAATTATGATTGAAATTATGAAGTTCTACTACAGATTATAGAGATATATTACAAAGAAAGAGAAACTTGAAAAGTTGTTGTCACATTTTGGTTTTGTTCCAGTGATGTACAGTCACATGAAATCTTACATCAGTTTTTCATGAAATTAACATCTGGTTACTTTAACTACAATATTTCATGAGTGGGGTGGATGTTGTTTGGGTTGGTGTTTGGTTTTTTTTTGTTTTTTTTTTTTTTAGTTTTTGAAAAACTTGCATGTAAAAACGTTTGAAGTAAAATAATGTTGCAGGTTGTTTACAGATTCCTTATGGATTATGGGAGTAAAAGCAGTCAGGAAGCTGCAGTGTTTTTAACATCGGTAAACAAATACTGGATTAAAGTGCAACAGTCCTTCTGACAGCACACCTGCCCTTTGCTGAAAGGAAATCTTTTCCTCTCTGCAGAGAAGCGAAGAAAAATTTCAGTGTCAGGCATGTTTCCCTCGAAAGTCTGTGATGGCCTTCCAGAGCGTGCATAACATTCCTCCTCTGTAAAGGAAAATCATAAAGATGTTCAGGAGCAAAGATACTCTCTAGCCTGGAAGCATTCCCATTTAGCTGCCTTCTGATTTTCTTGCTCTGGTTTTGACCAATAATATTCAGTGGGAAGGCCGATCAAAGGTGAAATTCAGCATGCAATACTCAAATAGAGAACAGAGTCCTTTTCTGATTACAGTACTGGGCAATCTTTCCACTTGTCAGATGCCTGCTTTCTGGAATTCAGTCCTCTGGTCCAAAGGACCTGCATAACCCACAGCGGACTCCCAACATTATGAAAAAATCTCAACACTTGCAGTATTTTTTAATTATTATTTTTATTTAGTTGTTTATTTTTAAACTGACTGGGCACACACAGAGTGCTTGATAACTTCTATTGTTTCTACTTAAACTTAGTTCTGCAGTGACCCACACACTTGGCATGATTAGGTGAAGTCTACTGTTTGTTAGTTACAGTCCATGAGTAGTATTTCTGAAGCTTGATGGTGGTGATAATGATAAACTATGGGAAGTTTTGCTCTCTCTACTTTTTTAAATAAAAACAAGGCTCTAATGTGTTTTCCAGTGTCTCCAGGTGCAAGGTAAAAGCTTTACTTTAAAATTTTCTCTTTGCTTTCCTTTAACAGAAAAGCTTATTTTAAAATAATTTAAACAGTATCAGCTCTTATCAGGACTGTATCAGTATACAAAGACATACTGGAAAGTGTTACTTATTTTAAATGAATACTGCACAATACAGCAAATAGAGACTTGGTATCACTTATTTTCTCTTATAACAAAATGCACAGTTCATTTTACTGTGAAGTCTTACCTCAGTCTCAAACATTTCAGATCATCTCGTGTAACATAGCAGAGAACATCCATTAATGTGTAGTCTTCAGCCAAAAACTACAAAAAGAAGTTTAAATGAACAATTTGTTAGAACTATAATCTAACTTTCTATGCTTTATATACCATCTGCCCTTAGAATTAGAAGTTTAGAAGAAACCTAAAATTGGGCCAAAATGTGGTATATGTGACAGATTCATCCATATTATTTATAGAAATACAATGAAACTACTTATTTTTTGTATTGTATACATTGGTATACGAGGCACAACTTGAAAGGTGTAATGCTTTTACAGCTAATTAAAACTTCCATCAGCTGGAATTTCTATTGTTAACACTGCTACTTCAGTGTCATAGACTTCAACAAACACCAATTAGAGCATAATTAACATCACATTTCATCCACGAGGAAACTGAAAACAACAGTTAAGACCTACCTTTTCAAGAGTGCTATCTAAATTTGATATACTTGAGTTTCAAGGAACCTTTGATCTGATCTGTAGGAGTGATAACTACATGCAGGTTTTCTTAAGTCAGCCAAAATTCTTCTCAACACCTCTAAAATTATATAATTTGTTGCAGAGCAGACGGATCTACTTGAGGAACTTTCATTTTAACACAGTTAGCTGGGGGTGAACATGCGCCCTGTATCCAGGGTGTAAT